CACAATAGATGGTTTTCTTGTCCTCACAGTAAAGGCAACAACACCTCTGTTGTCTTACTAAAAACTGCATCCACATTATCCTGTTCAAGCATTGCAACCCTATTCCTTGCAAGAGTGCTGACCTAGAGTAATATTTTGCTCTACCCAGCTAGCTTAGTAACCAGATACAAAAGAGCGATGATGCTTAAGCCCACTGACTGCCCAAATCCTGCTCTTCCAAGGTAAGGAACTGCATTTTAAGGGTTGATGAAATAATACCTGTGACTGCAAAGTACTTAGGGAATCCTTCGTACTGAGCTGCTACAGTTGCCCTTTCTCAGCTCGTGTGGGGTGCTTGCTGTGTTCCCAAGGTACGTAGGCTGACCCTGCACTTCTCCAGTGATGTTAAGCTGTTGGTAGCATCCCCTCTGGGACCATCAGTCCCTTTACACCGCGGGTCTGAAAGTGTCTCTGCCTCTGCTTCCTTCCCTGAATTGCTTCACAGCCTTGCTGTCTCTTGCCCACTGTCTGGACTGGAACACGGCAGTTGGCTCTGCACCACAAAGGCAGGGTGAGCCAATTAGTCCTTTGCAAAGCACACCGGGAGCATGAATTGAAGAAAGTACAACTGTAAGGCACTTCTTTTTTGTGGGCAAGACTGGGACCAGCTCCCTAAAATGAGGAAGAGGAGGATTCGTTTCAGTGTGCTAACGCTTTTGTCTTTAGGCAAAGACTAAGAGACTGAGCAAAATTGTTGCTGTAGTGTAAGACTCAAGAAACACATGCAAATAAGGGCCTAATATTAGTTGGACTGTAGCGGTATTTGCAAGACAACATGGACACAAGACTGCAGTGCACTCCCCGGAGGGAACTTCTCTTTGTCTGCCAGTACTCAAACATTTGCCTGTAAGGTGGGTGGCCTCTCCTTACCGAAATGGAGGGGATTCAATGGGCCACTGTTGTTTGTGTCCAAAGTGCTCACCCTTGCCTTAACTCTCAGACTCACTGCAAAGGGCAACATCTTGGTGGCTGCACCCCCTCTGAGTGCTCATCATCAGCTTTCCAAAAGTGGCACCACTCTGGTTTAGCTGCTCTAAACACCTTCTGTATGCAGAGGACTACAAAACCAGATGAAGAGCAATAGCAAAGCTTGCCAAAATATAAGTCCCAGGCCCACGTACGCTCCCTGTACTGAATGTATTTTCAGGATAGTCAGATACAGTCTTTTAACAAGCTAAAGACAAATTTGAATTGGAGGCATTTGTGACAAGGCTCTTGACACCAGACCATAGCCACTGAGATACTGCCTTCAAACTGTAAAGAAAACCAGGTGATGCATGTCAAAACCATGGACACTTCTCTAAAGCAAATTGATCCCGCTTCTTTTGGTACTGATCAGTGCTTATTTCAAGATAAAATTAAAAATAGTAATTAGTATTGCAATGACTAATGCCCTTTTACTTTTTAACAATTAAATAATATATTCGTCTAAGGTCTTTTTGCAATATTTGTGGTAATGATTTTTTTCTTTTTTTTCGTGGAACAGAGATGGTTATGATTTGGAAACCAAGCTTTCCATTTCAGTCTTACTGCAAATTGGTGCTGTGTTTAGCTATAAAAGATCTGTTTCAATTATAGTACTTGCTGGGGGTGAGGTCTGTGAGCAGAGCTCTCCCTCCTGCCCCAGGTTTGGTCACGGACGAAGCCTGGCTCCTGCAGGTGAGCTGTGGGGCCCTAGCTCAGTGCTGCTCCCAGCTCCCGGATAGTCTGCTGGTGCCAGTGAGGCAGCAGACTTGCCGCTTCCAAGAGTATTCATGCACTGACACTGTTTGCCTGCAAGGCCTGTGGTATAGCCTACAAGTAAGCAGCTTAAAAATTAAATTGTGAGTTAAATGCCCATGCAGCAACGCAAGAGCGGCCTGCCCCACAGTATGCTCTGCCATCAGTAACTCCCCCCCTTTTCCCTTCCTCCCAGTCTGCTCCTCCTACTTCAGTATTCTCCACTCTCTTCTTAACACATTCCCACCTTTGATTTTCCATCTGATAGAATTCATTTGTTTCTCAACTTTTCTTTGGTATATGAAGCTACATTTGCGCCAAAGGGTGTCAGCTGAACTCCAGTACAGGCCATGTATACCCATAGGTTGACTTACGGAAGGTCTCAGCTAGACTTGTTTCAGACGACAAATGGCTTCATCGCTCAAGGAAGAGGAATGGCATGATGAGAAGCCATGCCCTCTGCATGGGGACAAATAGCAAATTCTGCTACTTGCCTCAGATATTACTCTTTTTCCAAGAGTGAGCGCAAGAGAACAGCCAGCACCAGTGCCTGTGAGAGGAGTGACCACCGGGGACATCAGGAACAGGAACGCCAGAGTCTGCAAACTGTACAGAGCAGGGTTAGCAAGGAGCAACCTGAAAGGCACAGGCTGTTCTTGGCTCCATCTCTGATAGTTGTTAAGCTAATTATATAAGACAGATGCAGCTGATCTAAATTTTGCTGGCATGCAGCTCCTCCCTCCCTCCCTCCAATATCAGACAAATTTGCTCTAGGGAGGAATAATCAAGATGTGCATTTAGAACAACTGGATTTAGTCAATAAAGATGGCAAAAGTGAGCAAAGTCTTTGACGGCCCAAGACTTGGGGAAGGGAGGTCAAGCTAAACCCTAGTAGTTCACTGCTTGCTTTGTTACATCTCTGCTGTCCTACTAGGAAACATATTTCCCTAGTTTGGATAGTAGGGAATCCCCACAGTCACCGATTCCTGTCACTTGGGGTATTTTAAAATCAATTTAAAAAGTGGAAATGGACCACTGAGGAACAGGACAGCTGTGATAAGGATATTTACTCAGTATACCGAAATCCAGAACATCTGCTCAGGTTTTTTTTTTTTGTTTGATTGGGAGTTGGGGTTCTTGGGGGTTTTTTGGTTCAGTTGGTTGTTTTTTGTGTTTTTTTTTTTTTGATTCACAGGAGAGGCTCAAGAAGATTAACAGCTCTTTTTAAGCAGTTGATACTCTCCTTAGCTATGGCTTACAGAGCACCAGCTGAGGCTGTGACATACCTGCCATGGAAGAAGGTAAATAACTGAGGTCAGCTACATCTCTTTTGGCCAACAAGAGAATCAAAATGATTTTTGCCACATTGCCACTGTCCTGGCCTCTAGCCAAGAAACAGAGGGGTTTGGGTTTGTTTTTTTTTTTTGAGACAAAACCCACTGAAATAGCTGACACAACCAATTTAGTTAAATGCAGATAAACTAATTGGCAGCTTGCCAAATTCCTCTCAGGGCAGCTTACTAATTAGCTTCCACAAATGATTGCCTTCAAACTACCTGCTGGAGACAGTCTCTACTGGCTGTGAGCAGAGGAAGCCAGACTGTGGTGCTTGCCCACCATAGCACGAGTTACTAATGCAGATATCACCTAAGGTCTCACTGCAGCCATACTCCCTTCCAGCTCCAACATCCCCAGCCTTCAAACAGGCAGGTTTGAAAAGTCACTACCTCTCCTTTAGACAGGCTTTCCAAGAGTAATTTTTCTTCATACCTGTTAGGTTTTTTCCTCAGCTCAAATATACTTAGCGCTCTCAGGGAAAGATTTAGATCTGAAATTGTTACAGTATTAAAATTTGGTAACCGTTCATTACTTTTGCTTTCATGCTAAAAAACATTAAGTTTCCCCATGAATTTGGAGAAGCTAAAAGAAACCCTGGTTTGGAGGCAGGGAGTTTGAGATTAAGGCTATCGCTCCACTATGTGCATGTACTAAAGTTTGTACCAGTGAAGTTCAAGCAGCCAAAGAGCTTCCTACTATATGCATGAGAATAAAGGCAAGTGCCCTTTCAAATGGGAAGCCTGAATCTAGGAGTAAAGCAAATAAAGAGTTAAAAAGTCACTAGAGAATCAGGAATGAGGTACCATCGCTTTGTTTAGCCTACTAGTTCAGCTAGTGAAGAGTGTAGTCTCAGTGTAGTCACAGCTGCTTTTAAGAAAACAGCTTGATTTCTCACCTTGCTAGACCCAGTTTTTAATCAGAAACGCTACACTTTGGAAGATCCTTTACATTTTAACACTCTAATTAGCTTAAGCCTTACATACTCAATACATTAATGTTTTCCTCTTTACACCTCAGGCATTGCTAAGGGATGCCTGCAGTCCAGGACCTTCTGGCAAACGGAAAAGATCCTGATCTGGGACAGATTAGTTTGTCAGAAACATTTTGCAATTTTAGCGCAAGTGGCAGCAAACTAGCATCAGGTTAAATAGAAGTCAGAATGCTTTACTCTAGTAAGCAGATTCACTAATTTTATCATCAGACCCTGTTTTAGCTCCTAGCATTTACTACTCAGTGTCACTTATCACATTTAACCCAAAGTCAGCTTAAGAGGGCTGCATGTATTTTTGTGACAATAGCTTCTAAATTGTACTGCATGCACAAAGGATGTCATGTCCCGTCTTTTATAATCCATTTTATACTAAAGCCCTAGGCAGCAAAGGTCAGAGAATAGCTGTCACCAACTAGTCTGCCACAGTTTCAGCTTGTTTTCCCATGACATATTTTAATCCTCACACACATAACAAGCAGCTTGTCAGTGGCAGCCATGGAGCCTGTGCTGTATTCTCTCCTCAATGACTAGATGTGTTTAAATAGCCATCAGTCCTGGCCACAGCAGTTATAGACTAACATGAATTAAACACAGTGCCATTTTTACTCACAGTATGCAGCTGTGTTAAGCCTATGCTCAACTGAAAGACATGTCATTTCACAAGAATTCACACAGTATTCAACTTGTTGACAGTCAAGCTTTTTCTAATCAGAGACACAATTTAGTTTTCCTACCCCATTAAGGGGTTCCTTCACTTCAGTAAGCTGGGAGAGAAAGGGTAGGGGAGGAGATGGCAATTGTGTTATCAATTTATTAAACTCTGGGCTTGCAGCATCTGGTCTGCCCTCTTATATGCTATAAAAGCCATCCACGACAGATTAATTTGCTACAGATTAACCAAACACAGGACCAGTTATTTCAATATACTTTATTTTAAAACAGGTAGGTCACAGAACACTAAGCTTAGCCCATTCTGCCATACACAAGCTACAAATACTTGTTTGACAGTTGAGGGTCAGTCTTTAGTAGCATACATGAAAAGTGAATAAAAATCCATATAAAACAATATTCAAATAGTTTCCATAGGAACACAGATAATTGTGACCCATCTCCTAGTCTTTTTTGTTGTATTTATGCCAAACCTAAAAACTTTAAAAAAAACACTTAAAAATTCTAGCAAGATTTAAGTTAATGGTCCCCCAAATGCCCTAAATCCAATGACTAACCTTGCAGTTAATTACTAAATATTACCTATACATTAATACTAGCTGAAGCACAAGTTGCTGGATATTCAATTCCACTTTCCCAGGCACAAGAGAGTGGCAGACTAGACACATCCTGCTCTTCCACTTCAGCTAGGAACCCTTGCTCCTTGATCTGCTGCATTAGTTGCCTAGAAAAAAAAACAAAACAGAAAAGCAACAGTCAAAGTGTTTCACTATGATGTGTCAAAAAGAAGTTTGTTTGGTTTTTTGTTTTTTGGTTTTTTTTTTTTTTTTTACACTGTCAGGAAGCATGAAATGAGCTCTTTATCTGCAATCCAGACAACATTACTGGGGGGGATGGGGAAGCAGAGTGGGCAGGTCACTTGTGGCTGGCTAGGCTTTAGGGGCAGTGCCAATACCAAGGTGGTTTCACCATTTCTGGGTAGGATCTAGATCTTTGAATCAAATAAAGGTACAGATGACAGACTAGGAATGTAACAGAGCTGACCAGTGAGAACCATGTAACTCCTTCCACACTCAGACAGGAGTTGTGCTGAAAGACAAGCTCAGAACTTCAGCTGACTAAGTTTTTGAACTGAAGTTATCTTATAATAAATGCAAGGCAAGAAGTTGGGCTTCTACGTGGCTCCCCTATATACTACTAGCTTTTACTTAAGACATCTGTAGCATTTTTCCCTTATGTTTCAGTTACCTAGCCACTAATTTAGTTGTACACCTTTATACATGTAGATTACATTCCAAGAAGCTTTTGCATGTGCTAGGAAGATCTGCACCATAACTTCACTAATACACCCCCTCAGTTAAGGCCCAGCTTGTGTCTCAATCTTCTTGCCAAATCAGAAAACACAGGCAATCATGTAGGGCTGAAAGAGGACCGTAGCCTTGGATAATGGTTATGTCTGCATAATTAAGCTCAGCATGCCTCAGACCAAGTATTACATTGTAACAGAAGCCCAGTGCTACAGTGAAAAAGCTAATTGTTCTCCTGCAGAGCCATTTTTTGTCCAATTAGTCACAAGTTTAGAGTCTTAGGGGAAGTCTAAAAACTTCATTTGGTTTGAGGAATGCTTCAATTGACAGGAGGTTTCACTAACGGAAAGAAACAATACAAGCCTTGCTTATAGAGGCAAGGCTAGTAAAAAAAAATATGGAAGCTTCCTCTTAATGTTATGGCAGGAATTTCCCAGAACTTAAGCATTTTCAGTAAATTTGAAAGCAATCCAATAGCAAAGTTAATCATGCTTTAGGGTAATACTGCTGCCCAAATGCTCAATTTGCTTCAATACAGAAGGGTAAGGGCTTCCTCTTACACAAAACCCCACTGTCATAGAAGATGCAATCCATTAGCCTGTTTTGCACAGAAGAGCCACCACGTTACTTTAAATGACTGCTTAAGGTGAAGTTTCACAGTATCGCTGCACTCAAAGAGGTAGTCCTGCTTTCTTTGCTTACCTGTTTTGTAACTCTCCATGGAGATCTAGTACTCTGCAATGAGCCAGAGCTCAACCTAAACCAAGGAATAGCTCTCAAATAAACAGACAGATCATATTGTGAAGCAGCACTGTTGAATGTTCCTGTCTCCTACGGTCAGGATTTAACAAACTATCAATTTAGAAGACAGTACTATTAGAACTGTGATTGACTGGTCTCTAATTACTGGTCACAGAAGCTAACTGTAAAGAATCTGTAATTATTCTATATGTTGTGCAAGAGTGAAAAACACCGGCTAGAAGCCGAGGTTAATGAGGACTCCTAACATTACCCCTTTAAAAGCACTTCTGGAAGCTAGTACATCAGAGGAAAGTAATTAGTCTAGTCATTCTGGCATTGTTCTAAGCACACAGTAAAAGCCTTCAGAGGTATTGCCTTCTTCCACACCACAAGGAAGTTTTACAAGAGCTATGGCACCAAAACTATGGCCCTATTTGTTAAGGGGCAGCCAACTGACATGAGCTGTTCACTAGTCATCTGTATCAAAAGCACTGACCGATCAAGATACTTAATTACTAACCATGCTGGTCTTGACATCACATAGTGTATTGTTGGCCTCTGGAATCCATTGAACGTAGAAGCTGCTGCAACAGTATAGGCACCCATGTTTTCAAACAGGATCCAGTCACCAACTTGCAACTCTGGCATATTAAAGCGCTCAACAATACGATCGAGGCCATCACACGTTGGTCCCCATATGCTGCAGGAATAGCAGCTGTCGTCTGGTTTAGGCCGCTAAAGAAGAATTGAGTGTAATTAGTTACACTATCAAAACAGTACTCCCAGAGGTAATATCATTAGTGCAACATTCCACCCTACAGAAGAGAGGGGAAAGAGATCCCTGCAGATCCATCCCCACCCTTGGCTTTGAATTAATTCCACTGCATCATTCACAAGTCAAATGCCAAATTCTGGCGACATGAAAGGAGCAGTGAACTGAGAAGCAACTGTTGTGACAAGGATCCTCCCGCCTCCCTGATGCATGACCAGTATGTGATACTTCTGAACAAGCATACCTTTTGCAGAACTGGTTTAACATGTGCGTGATCATACAAGATGCAGTTGAATGACCCATAAACTCCATCATTCACATAGTACATAAGAGTTTTGTCACTTGCATCATCTTCCTCTGGAAGAAGTTGAGATACCAGTAAGAGAATGCTTGGGAAGAAACACACAATTGACTAGAAGTAAGGTTAGGTCTAGATTTACATACCATCAGACCCTGTTTGTTCCTTTAATACAATTTTTTTTGCAATTATGTTGACTGCCAGTGTGAATGCTGATGCAACATAGTATCTTCCAGGCTCTGCAATAATATTTATTCCAGAATCTGAAGGAAAGTATTTATCCAGTGCTGGGCTGATTACACTTGTTATCTAGGGAAGGATCAGTTGCCAGTATTAGTAGTTGCACAGTTACTCAGGTGCTATTTTAGAAATCTGAGATGAAGTCAGACTTTCATACTCACAATGATATACTGGCCAAATGTGTAATAACTATTTGCATATTGTAATCTCTATTGCCTTTGCTTTATTTTCCTATTCAAAGTTTTGATTGGGATTAAGTTTGAACAAAGCAACAAAAGCAGACATCACTTGCGGTTTAAAAAAAATTTAGACTCAAACATGAGCTGTTTTGGTCACTTAAAGGAAATCACCCCTTCTAGACTCATTAAGCCAGCATTAATGTCCTGCAAGTCTCCACACCTCAACTTTAATTTCTAGTCCGCTTATTCTAGTTCTGATAATCAGTATTCCCTATTTTATTGCATCCTAAAGAAGTCCTCTCACAAGATCTTAAGAACACAGAATGCTTTGTCATCACCTTTGAAATTCAGTTGCCTTCATGAACAGAGTTATTTCCAGGTTCTGAAGTTAAGTAATCACATCATGGCAACCAGTGACATCATTTGCTCTTGATGTTTCTTATAAGTCAGTACTATACCACGAGAAGTCGGCCTTCATTAATAGGCATTACAAGTGAGGCAACATTAGCCCACATTATTGGTGGAAAACTCACTTTATGTAACTTATTTGCTGTTTAAACATATAACATAATTTAACGCAACTTTAGACTGGCAGGTGCTCTGCCAACACTGCTGTAAGTGGCAGTCCTATTAATACCCAGCCACCTTGTTTATTCTGAAAGCAGAAGTATTTCTGGGCAAAACCAGACTGGAGAACTGATCAATTAACAAATGATCCAAAAGCTAGTTCTAAACCAGATCAGACACTGACCATTTGCTACATCAATGCTCTTGCCACCCAGGACAGTATGGGTACAGGATTGTATTTTCATCCCATTTGGGAGCACTGCCAATCCAGACAGTCTAAAGTACAGCATCAACTGGAAGAAGTCTATGCCTGTGAGAATCAAGCCTACAATTAAAACCTGCTTTGCAACTTTGATATCTCTGCATGTTTATGCAGTAATTTAGCTAGGTATCTAAGGGGTTCATCTAATTTTCAGTTTTCAGATTAATTCCCCTCTTTTTCTTTAAATTCAATTTCTGACCAAGCAGACAAGTTCTTACAAGTGTGTCTGCATGCCAATATCAAAGCAAGATTTTGTTCAATCCAGATCAACATTCAAAAAGACTCCACAGCCTGAGAAGTTCTTAGCAAAGCTATACCTCTTCAAATTTAAGCTTGACATCTTCAGAGCCAGGGAAGCCACCACCAATATCAAGCAGATACATACTAAAGCCAAGTTCAGCCTAAAATGAGATTAAGGGAACTGTTAAGCAAGCAGTTCTTACATTATCATTTTAGCTTAAAAGGCAATATAAAACAATTTAATTAACACTAGGAACAGAGGTAATTCATCATGTTCAAGTAGCCACTATGAGTCTGAGCTACCAATTTTAGCATCTCCATAGGTGAGTTTTGGCGAACTGGTTAAAATAAACCACCACGACCTCAAAAATTCCAACAACACAAAATTAGCAACTTAACTAGGTTTTAAACCTGTAACAGTTTTACATTTGATTCAGTTTTGCCACAACAGTTAAGCAGTAGTTCCAGAGAAAGTAGAAGTAGACTTACTCCCATATCAAACACACAGCGAGCATCAGAAATCGCTTGAACAAAGGTCTCTGGGTCTGTACATCCACTTCCAACATGGAAGCTACAAGTAAGTAAAAAATATCAGTTGCCATTTGGTAAATTAGTCAGGAAATTTATACAAAACTCTAGTCACCACATGCAAAGGCATCTCTATTGTCAATAAAGACCATTTAAAGAAAACTTATTTAACATGACAGTATTTTGATACTGTCAACTCACCTAACTCCAACGATGGCAAGGTCAAGTTCTTTTGCACGCTCTAGAAGCAGTCTGCTTGTCTTCAGTGTAGCTCCAAATTTAACACTCAGACGACAAACTGCTTTGGAGTCATCAGTTGTAATGCGCAAGACTAACCTAGAAAATAGGAAAGAATAAGGGTTTACGTTCTAGTATAGAAGACTTCAGTACCAGGCAGGTATGACCTTAGAATGAGGCTGAGCTTTAAACATACAAGCTTTCCTTTTTGTCTTTTCCTAATGTGCCAGTAAATTATGCAGGATTAGATTTTACTGGTTAAAAAGTAGGTTTACTTTCTCATAGTAGTTTTGCAGCCTATCTTAACTAATGAAGAACAAGTTTCAGTTAACAGTAGATGTTTCTGTAACGTGGGAACCCAAGCAAGAATTACGGAACAATTAGCACAACTTACTTGGCTTTTGGATGGGCCCTTGCAACTTTCATTAGTTCTACTTCACTATCAAATGTCATCATCTGTACACCACTGCTAGCAGCATGTTTGATTTGAGATACTTGTTTGCAGGGATTTGCATATATTATTCGCTCAGGAGGTACACCAATGCTCTGTACCAGCTGTATTTCCGTCTGAAGAAAGAACAGATTACACTTGTGAAAGACTTCTACAAGGATGATCAAGCTAATCAGGATAACAAAAGTGACAGCGCTTCATTATGCTTGATTTTATATGAAAAAGTCTTGTAAAGCCGAGCATACACTAAACAATCCCAGGTCAGAACACAATCAAGATCCTACCTTACTGGCACAATCAAATCCTGCACCAAGAACAGCAAGTGTCTTCACTACAGCTTTGCTGTCGTTACATTTTACGGCATAGAAGGGGGTGACCCGAGGAAGAGCTTTATGCCATCGCATGTGCTTCTTTACAATATCCCCAAGGTCCGCAACATAGAAGGCATCTTTATCATCCTAGACAGAGCAAATACGTATCTTAACGTTACAAACAATGGGTAACAAGATAAGCCTAGAGGTCAGCATTTGAGGAAGAGGTTGCCTTGCAGAAAATCTCTGAAGACAACTTGTTCCATTAGTTTAGAAATCTGTAGCATCACGAAATACAGCGATTTTCCTATCATACTTACAGAAGATGACACTTCATTTATTTTTTGGTCAAGGATATCCTTGGCAGTAAAGCCTTCGTCAAGGAAGGTAAATTCAAATTCTTCATTGCTGAAGCTACTCATGATTTCTGAGATTTGAGGTTTATGCGAAAGGATTTAAGTACAAACTGTTGATACAAAAAAAAAAAAATAAAAAATCAATTACTTAAATTTAAATTTATACAGTTTACATTCACTACTTCAATCCATATAGTCATTATATGACTACTACATCATGGTCATATCATTTACAATTATAAGATTCCTACAGTGATCTCTAATAGCAGCACAGATTAGGAACTTACATAGATGACAGATCAGATTTAATCAGAGCCAAGGAGGCACTCCACCAAATCTTGCTAGCTTGAAGGCAAGTTCTCCTCTGTTCAGCAGTTGTATGATGTACTGAGCCTATTCAAAGGAAAAAAAAATAAAATCAAATAAATACTGTCAGATATTATTAGTCTAAGTACCTCAAAGTTTCCACTGTCTTTTCCTTCACCTCCACATCAGAGCTGTTAATATTATGGCTAGTGCCCAGTGTTAGCATACTTACCCCTTTTTAAACCAGCCATGAGACCAGGGCTTTCCTTGAAGTTGCTCTGTTGGTGGTCAGAGCTTCCCTGTTTTACCCATGACCTCCAGGCTGTCATGAAAAGAAAACCTCAACTGTCAGGAATAGCAGATACACACTAAAAAGAATGGTTCCTAATTGCGGTGTGCAGGCAAAGTCTTAACAGTGATCCCAATTAACCCTTTATAACAGGATTTTACAGTTGTCCATAACAAATCTTCATTGTTAACAGCAATATACCAGCCACGTAGAAAGTCCCTTGAGAACCACAGCTAAAGCACAAAAGCACATTCCTCTGCCATCCAAGACCTACACAGTCCATGGCAAAGTGTACAGGTCATCCTTTTACTGGGTAGTCCAAATGGAGAATGACAGTCTCCATTAAGCTGTTTATTCAAACAGAAGTATGTGCTACCTTTTAAAGACCTCAGCATCGCAAGTGACTCATAGGGAAGATATGGTTTCATGTAACCCAGTCCAGCTCTCTGCTTCTCTCAGCATGTTTTTTTTTTACACTCAATCTAGTCATACAGATTTGGACCGAAGATTATGCAAACTTTAAATTATTCACTAATGTTTAGTTACATCACTGTTCCCTCTGTTTTCAAGAAGGCGGTTCATAACAATGTATGAAAAAGAACATATATTTTACAGCTGTAATAGATTAATGAGGTTCTAAGACCAAAAGAATCATTCATTCCATACGCTGTGTATACTAAAATCCATTAAACTTTATCTACTGGATGACTTTTCAAAGTCAGTAACCACAAATTCATTTCGGCCATCATAAACATATGGCACCTGAATTGCCAGTGTCAAGAACTACGTCACATCTTCTGATCGATTCTCACTTATCACAGACAAACCAGAATTGAAATTCAAACTAGATTAAGCTTTAATGAAATAAAACCCAACAATCCACCGAGCCTTGTTCTCCCCCTCCTCTCATTCACATGCAGTGTTAATTCTTCCAGAAGCTGGATTAAAGTCTTCTCTTAAAAGCCTCTTTGAAATGACCTTAAGAAACAAGCAAATTAAACACTTCTCTGGAAGCTGTTTGTTACTAAAGAGAAGCTGCATCTTATCATAGGACTACTTCAACAAGACGTTGCAGCCCTGCAGAAAGCAGTTCAGGGACTTCTAGCTGTGGTTAGGAGAAGCAAACAGCATCAGGAAGAATTGTTTATCCTCCCCTCTTCACAGAGCTACATGAAAAGCACTTTTTCTAATAGCGTCTAAAATGGGAACCACTTTTGCTGTCACAGAAGACTTTGTTAAGAAGTTCCTACAAGCCTTCCATCTCCACCTTATTGCACAATTTTAACTACAGTGTAATTACACAGAAATCAGACAGAACATGACCATGTAGACGCAAATTGCAGCCTCCCGGTGTCTATTTCTCTTTGGACTGTGCGCAAAGTGTCTGCAGCTTCCCAAAGAAAGGGCAATTTGCGCTTATTATTATTATTTAGAGAAGCTGTTCTCCAGAACGTTTTCCCTTATTCAGCAGCTGTTTTTAGACGCAGCTGAGTCACGCCTGCAGGCTCTATTCTCAAAATACCAAAGCTGCGTCTCTCGAAAGGCTGCCCGAGGCGCTCCCGACCCTGGAGCGAGCTAGCAGATCGCTGCCGGGAAGGAGCCGGCCGGCTGCCCTACCCTCGCTGGCGGCCCCTTCCCCACCCGTGAACCCGCGGGGTCCCCGGGGTCCGGCCCGGGCTGCGCTGCCTCGGCAGCCGCGGCCCCCTCGGCGCTGGGGGGGGGGGGAACGAGCCAACGCCTTCAGGGCCCCGCCGCCGGGCAGGGCCGAGCCGCCCGGCCCAAGGGCGAGGCAGGGCGCCCGGAGCCCGCGATCCTGCCACGCACCTGCCTCTCCCCGCCGCGGAAACGGCCCGGCGGCGCCCGTCCCCTCCCCCGCTGCCGGGAGCCGGCCCGACCCGTTCGCAGCCGCCCGGGACCTGTGTCCCCCCCGTCCCCATCCCCCCCCCCCCCCCCAACCCTGCCCCGCCGGGGATTCCCCGTGCCCGGCGGCGGCAGCCGGCGCCCAGCCCGGCCCGTCTGGCAGCGGCCCCGGAGACACGTGGCTCGGCGCCGGCCGGCTTCCGCCGTGCGCGCCCTTCCGCGGCCCGGCACCCCGCCTCGCCTCGCCTCGCCTCGCCTCACCTCCGGGCAGCAGGAGCCGCCGTCAGGCCCCAGCGGCGGCCGGTCCCCTCGCTCCGAGCCGGGCGCGGTGCGGGGAGCCGGGCGGGAGGCGCCGGGCCGCCGGCGGGGGAAGCGGAGCGGAGCGGGACGGAGGCGAGCGGGGCGCCGCGGCTGACAAAGCTCCACCGCCGGCGCGCCGCTCCTATATATAGGGCAGCCGGCGTCGCTATGGCAACGCACCAGCTCAAACCAGCCCCGATCGGCTGGGACCGGGCAGGGACTCCTGGTCAGCCGCTATTGTGACGTCGGCGGCGAACACGCGTAGGGCCACGGCCACGCCCCCCGCCCCGCCCCTCCCCGCCGTGCGATGAGCGCGTCGGGTCTCTGCAGCGGGCCGTCCCCCGTGGGCCCCGCCGCGGGGCGTGGGGCCGCGGGGCGAAGCTCTCCGCAGCGCTGTCCGTCTTTTTTCTCCTTTGCCCTTGCCTTGACACCGACACCTGTTTCCCCTGTGAGGTTATTTTTGTCTCCCTGCACCCTGGCTTGTTTAAAATCCGAGCTGTTGTGGAAGTCGCAATCGGGTATAAATTCCTTTTAACCCGTTTCTGTGTTAGCCCTGTAATGACCACGCTTTCGACCGGAACAGGCGCTTTCTGCCCCTCTCTTTAGGGAGTTCAAGTCCTACCCCATGGTAGACGCATCCCCGCGGGGTGCGAGCGTCCTGTTGCTGTTGCTCTGAAGGATGGGGCTGCCCTTGCCACACGGAAAAGGGGATTTTTACACCCTGCCAGCTCTGAGACGTTTTTAAGAAAGGCGGGAAACCTTTCTGCAGCCCACACTGCGGGATGGAGCTCGGGGTGCTCCTGCTCCCCACCTCCAAATCGTTGGTGGCTATTGTAATTAAAAGTTAATGGTTTTCTCAAGGCAGAGATGTTTGGCTGGCCTCTGCTCTTCTGCAGAGCTGCTGGGTGGGCACCGTGCCGTGGGGAAAACCCTCTGCCCTGTGTGGAGAAAGGGGATGGGAAACGCCGGCTGCTGCGCGGTGCGCGATCCTCTCGTGGAGGTACCAAAACAGCTGTGCCCGCTGGCCTCAGAGGTCCTGTCCTCCCGCCTCTCCCAGCTGAAAAATCCACTGTATTTCAAGTAAAAGTGGATCAACAGGTTGTCCTCGCCCCCCCACCAGGCCCCGGCTGCTGAAGCTGGGTCGGGGGTGGGGGGGGTGTAAGGTTTGGGCTGCGCAAGGTTGGGGCTGCACAAGAATCCCTTGAAGGAGTAAAATAAAGGAAAACACCAAGATCAAGCAGATAAGAAACAAAAGTTGAGCTGGGCCACAGCCAAAAGAAATGTCCGGGAACAGAGCTGGCTTTGGTTAAAATAATTAAATGAAAGAAGGAACAAAAGCCCCTAAAAGATTTTTTAAAATATATTTGGTGTGTGTATATGTGGCCACACAGATATACAAATTGGGGAAGGTTTCCTAAATAACATCAAGCAGGCAGTAGGGAAAAGTGTCCCAGCGTGTAGCATCCACATCAGCTGGTCCCCAGGACACTACTTTCCCTCGACAGCTATTCCTGTTGCTGCACGAGTGCTGCCTGTGCTGAGATAACTCCTCAAAAACCCTGAGAAGTGTCACACCGCCTCCCCTGACAGTTAACAGGGCAAATAATGGGGCTCTCAAGCCTCTAAATTTGGCTCCAGGGACAGCAGAAGAAATGTAGGTGTTGGAAAAGCAGCGGGCAAGTGGAGCGGAGGTCTGTGCCACCACGGCAGGAGCCCAGCTGTTCACTGAGCTGCCAGAAAAGCCACGGCTGAGGCCAGGATGGGGACAGTGGCCACCACCTGGCCCCAGCGCTCCACCACGTCCCCGTTACCAGTGGTTGTAACCCCTTCGCCTTCTACCCTCTGGCTGGGGCTAGAGGAGAGCCCGCGGCTCTGTTCCCACCGACCCGGGGGCAGCCGGGGCAGGAGGGCGGCCGCTGGCAGGAGGGCACCGCTCGGGTGTGGAGGTGAGACAGCACGGAACCGTGCCTGAGCCTGGCGAGAGAAGGCTGGACTGCTCTGAGGGAAACAGGCAGCGAGAATAGCCACGGAGTGCCGCCATCTGAGGAACTGAAGCGTTCGTTAAGCTGTTTGTGGGTGATTAATAGCGATGCCGTATCAGCAACTCAAAAGGATGGGATCACCAAAATGTTTTATCCCCCTCCCAGTTTTTGCCTCTGAAGGGTCCTTGAGAGCTGCAGTTAGCAAGGGCTGGCTGTGAGGAGCATGAAGTTTGGAGGAGGTCTCCCAGTAGAGGGAGGGGAGGGGTCTGGACCTGGGTCTCCATGCCAGAGGACAGCCAGGGAGAGCCTTCAGGAACATCAGGTGGGAGCAAGGAGGCACGTCCTTCGCTGCCCATTTTCTGGCTAGTGCCCTGAGGGTCTGGCCAAGCTGCTCTGAGGAGCTGCACAGGTCCGTGGGTGAGAGGAACAGAGCAGATCCTGAGTCCGAAGAGCTGGGAGATGCTCCTGCAACTCCTTGCAAGTCACCTCCGGTCTCAAACTACCTTACACGAAGCAGTTGCATGGGCCAAAAATGTTTTCCAGAAGAGGGCACTGGAAAAGCATTTGTTGGCAGGAGACTGTGGCCACATCTTCCTGATGTTTCCCCTCCTCGCTTTCTTTCCACGCAGGGCCCTTGCTGTCCTGGAGGGACAGGGCATGGGGAGGACTGTCTGGCTGCCCTGCAGCTGTCAGTGTCTCCTACATCTTGCAGCAGCAGCAACCTGGTGGTCCTTGGTCCTGCTGAGTGAGATGGGTCTTCAGGCTCTTGCAGACCCCCAAATTTGGGAGGAGCTGGAGCCGAGCCCCAGGTTCCCGCAGCTGCCGGCCCGGCAGTGGGAGCTGCTCAGCGGGAGGGGGAGAGACTCCTCAGCCAGCACTAGCACAGCAACTGGAGGAAACCTCGAGGTAACGCCTGGCATTTCTCAACTGCTTTCTTTCCCTCTGAGTCTATCCAAAGGCTTTGTGCTTCTTAAGCCTTGTGACAGCTCGCGGAGGTAAGAGTACCTCCACTTTGTGGACGAAAAAGTGGTGCAGAGGGAAATCCAATGATTTAGCCAGGATTGCGGAGAGTTAAATCCAGATGGGGGTGTGCTGAGCTGTGGCCCTGTGCGAGGTGGAGATCCTCCGCAGGGTGTGGGGTGCAGGGCACGTGCATGGGGGGCTCCTGTGGGGCTACCTCCAGCTCTTTTGGGGCAGCAGCTCCTCACTCTCGGTTTGTTGGCCATTGCGTGAAGGAAAAAAAAATCTATAAATTGTCCCTGTCATTCAAAAAAGACTTAGAGGAAAATATGTATTTCCAGGTTACATTTTTGTCATCCTTTATTCTACATTTTCTAGGCATTTGAATGCAATTTCTTGCCACTCAGTGCTGCAAATGTGATGTGGTATGTTTTTGAGTCAGAGCAACAAACTAAAATAGCTCCTTGCAGTGGCAAAACTAAAGGAGATGGAGTGACTGAAAACCTTGTGGAGTGACCAAAAAACTTATGGAGTGACCAAAAACCTTGTGAAGTGACTGGAAAGCTTTGCTTTGTAGCTCAACTGCAGAAATGCTTATGGTTCTGCTTCTAACTTCCCTTTTTTAGGAGAAAGTAGCCCCAGTATGTTCAAAACAAGTCATTCACAGGCACATGCCATGAGGTGAAGCGCATAACTCTGACATTACAGCACTAGTTTTGTGTCTGAGGCTTTTCCAGTCCTTCACATTTACAGATTTGAGATAAAAAAAAAAAAAAAAAAAAAAACGAAAGAAGTCAGTTCTTTCATATGCATGTTTTTAAATATACTTGATACAGTAAGGTGTTTGAGTATCATCATCCCCTGTATGAGCTCAGCACCTACCAGAGGTGAGCTAGATCATAAGATTTGGCTCTGGCATTTGTTATATTTAATACATGGATTCTATAGGCAACATATAAGTGTACAATTGAGTTTTTAAATACTTTGTATTTTAATAGACTCTTAATTTCATCTTGCTCTCAACGGAGACAATGTCAAAATCCTCTGAGGGCCGGGAAGAGGGAGAAGAGCTCTTGCAAACTCCTGAGCATGAGCTTGAAAAGCAGAGGCCAGCCTGTACTGCGGGGTCAACGGAGAGGAAACCATGGAAGTGACAGGTTGATTTTGTGCGTGCAGCCAGCAGAGTGGTGTTTACACCAGAAAGCGGGGAGGCAATAGCCAGTCCTGCTAGCAGAGCAGTGCTCTGCTCAGCCCATAGACTGCATCTCTCTCTCATGTAGAGGACTGTTTTCTGCCATGGTGAAGACATTGCTGGAACCAAGGCGCATTGCTGTCACACGTAATTCACAGCCAGCTTCTGAGCCTGCCGCAGGCAAGACCTTGATTTACTCCAGAAGCAGCGTGAGAGTTTGAGCAGGTTTCAAGTTTTGAGTGAGGAAGCACTTGGTGCTTGTAAGTGTATCAAGTGTCACATCAAATGATGGCCACTGATGATGTCGGTGCTGGATCTGACCCCTGTATGTGTCTCGTTTGGCACACGCTGCAATAGCCACTCACAGAGGAGAACGCTGTTTGACAAGGAGAGCGGCAGCAGGACCTGAAATATGCCACAATTTGCAGAAATTAACGCTTTGCAGATTTAAATCCTAAAATCTCTCCCATGGATTGGATCTTCAGGTGTTGTGCAAACACAGCGAGGTCACAGAGTGCTCCAATAAACTTGCAATTGCTGGTGGGAAGTTGAGTGCCTGACATGAGGAGGCAGGGGATGACGGCAGCCCGTGGCATGTGTTGGTGAG